GAGAAGAAGGAAGAAGAAGAAGAAGAAGAAGAAGAAGAAGAAGAAGAAGAAGAAGAAGAAGAAGAAGAAGAAGAAGAAGAAGAAGACCACTCACCTCCCTCAAACGCGCTGTAAGTAGCCTGGAATCCCCGGTCACTGATGGAAGAGTCGGTGACAAAGCGGAGGAACATGGCATTGCCCGTGGCTCGGATCTCCGATGGTCGGTTCTCCCCACACAGTCGGTCGCCGATCCGGGATGCATCCGCATTAGTTCCGTCATACACCTGATGGGAGGTAAGAAAAGTAAAGTTGTTCCTGCATCCGATCCGGACATTGGGGATTGCTTTGTTGGTGAGACAACTTCCTGGGCCTTTGGCATATTGTGGTAGTGTGGCCAGTTCCTTTCCACTCCGCCTTTACTTCCCCAACTCGAAGTCAGGTTCCCATTACTGCTGGGTGGGCAGGAGGAGGCGAAAAAAAAACCTGTGTCCGAACCAAGGCTCGAATGCAGACTTTTTGCTTTGGAGACTTAAAATTTTAAAAATTAATTATAGTAGAGGGTTTTACGGCGCTCACAACTGCATAAGGTCATATAAGCGCCAAGGGGTGGGTGTCAACACAGAAGTCCTTACAGGGAATCAGACTTAGACTGCTCACCTCTCTAGCTTTAACAGCACAAAGTCTGCTTCAACTATCAAGGCATCCCAGAAATAGCAGGTCACAAGAGAGTGACAAACATACAAAAAAAGTAGAGGCAAATGACAATAGTAAGGATAAGGAAAGAAAAAGCAGCAGTTCCCTGTTGTCGATCAGGCAGTTATGAGCGTGACATGAATCAGCCCATTTACAATTCTACTGTGCTTGAACGAGAAATGCCCCCCTTTTGGGAATGGCCTAAAGACACTACAGTCAGTGATACTGCCTCCGGGGGGGTGTTTCGGAGACGAGCGGGAAGGTAAGTAGGAAGTGTATAATAGGTTTCTTCAACACTCCTGTTAAAATGTGAGGCTTGTTTACTTACTTGGTTGGAGAATAGGATTCACTGCTGGCAGCACAATACCATAGCTGCTAAATGTGAGGCATAGTGGGGAAATCAGATGCTTGTCAAGATAATGAAATGGAAGAAACGGATATTTTTCCACCTCTCAGGTAATTTTCATCATGTTCTATAAATAATTTTGTTTCATTTTGTGTTAAAAAAAAAATGTTTGTTAAAAATTATTTTTTTTCAAATACCTTTTATGTCAAACTAGAAAAGCATTTTTTTTCTTCTGATTTCTTCTCACTCTTCTTGTTAATGTAATTACCATCATTATTATTATTATGAAAAAGCAAACCTCGATATAGACGTAGTCGCAGCTGTCATCCTCCTCTAGACTGAAGTCTGTGCAGCTGAGCAAGTCGTGGGAATCTTCCGCCACAGTGATCAGGTCGCTCTTACTTAGTAACCATTTTTCTTATTTTCTTCTTCTTTTTAAAACACCTTTTGTCTTTTTATATTCATTATTATTTCTTTCATTCATATTACGTATTATTAGCATGTTATCAGACTAAAAATAATAATGACTCTTAATTTCATTATCATGATTAATCTTCCTTTTTTTTTCTACTTATCCTTCTTTTAATTTTTCTTCTTTTCCTTCTTCTTCTTTTCTTCCTTCTTTTTCTTCTTCTACTTCTTTTCTACTTGTTCTTGTTCTTGTTCTTGTTCTTCTTCTTCTTCTTCTTCTTTTTCATTTTTGTTCTTCTTTTTCTTCCAATTCTTCTTGTTATTATTATAATAAAAAAACAAACCTCGACATAGTCAAAGTCGCAGTCGTCCTCCTCCTCCAGACTGAAGTCGGTGAAGGTGAGCAGGACTCTGGAACCTTCCGCCACAGTGATCAGGTAGCCACAGTCGGCGGAGTGGCGGTAGGCATTGGGGTAGTCCGGGGAGCGGATGGTGCCCTCAGTGCCTGAGAATGTTCCTCCGCAGGCTGGAAGGAGGAGAGAGAGAGAGCGGTGAGGGAGGAAAGAGGAGGACGAGATGAGAGGTTGGGGGAGAGGGGTGAGGGAGGAAAGAGGAGAGGAAAGAGGAGAGGAGTGAGGGAGGAAAGAGGAGGAACAAGAAGAGATGTTGGGGGAGAAAGGTGAGGGAGGAAAGAGGAGAGGGGTGAGGGAGGAAAGAGGAGAGGAGTGAGGGAGGAAAGAGGAGAGGAGTGAGGGAGGAAAGAGGAGGTACAAGAAGAGATGTTGGGGGAGAGGGGTGAGGGAGGAAAGAGGAGAGGAGTGAGGGAGGAAAGAGGAGAGGAGTGAGGGAGGAAAGAGGAGGTACAAGAAGAGATGTTGGGGGAGAGGGGTGACAGAGGAAAGAGGAGAGGAGTGAAGGAGGAAAGAGGAGGAACAAGAAGAGAGGTTGGGGGAGAGGAGTGAGGGAGGAAAGAAGAGAGGTTGGGGGAGAGGAGTGAGGGAGGAAAGAAGAGAGGTTGGAGGAAAGAGGAGAGGGAGGGTGTGGAAAGGACCAGAGAGGAAGAGAGGAGAGGGAAGGGGAGGTGAAAGTGTGGTGGAGTGGAGAGAAAGGGAGGGGGGTTGAATCGAGGGGGTAGCGGAGGACCAGAGGGGAAGGAGGAGAGTGGGGTGGGGTGCGATTTGGGAAGGGCAAGAGTTGGAAAGGAAGAGAGGAGTGGGGTGAGTGTGAAGGAGGAAAGGAGAGGAGAGGTAGTCCATCATTTATTGTTTATAGGGAAGTTGTCATTTTTTTAGTTTTTAAAGTTGCTATCTGTTTTCGCAATTTGTGAAGCGTGCTCGCTAACAAAATGAGTTACTTCTCACAAGCCTCAAATGAAGATATAGGTCAAAAATCGACACTAGGGTCGAATTCATCGATTTCCTTTTGATGCCATATTCTTAACGAAAACCCCTCTTTTATTATTTCATACTTATAAATTGTAAAAATTTCACCTACAAACGTGATGTATTTATTTCCTTAAGGCTAGAATCCGAGAAGCAACTCATTTTGTCAGCATGTTTCATTAATTTCACATTTGGTTACTGGCAGCATCGTCATCATCATTTTCTTTATTATCATCTCCATTATCACTTTCATGAGCAGCAGCATCAGCACTGTTATTATCATCATCATCCTCATTATCATCAGAATATTCACAGTGACTAAAGGAACTTTTAATGTTTAAAATCCACTCACACACATACACATGCAAACAAGCAGCAAAAATATTCCAACATGCCTGAAAGCAGTTCCCAGTGATTAAGTAGTCAGTCTGTAGCTCAACAACCAACACACACACACACACACACACACACACACACACACACGCACACACACACACACACACACACACACACACTCTCTCTCTC